GAGCAAAAATGACAGCTGAACTTGAAGTTTTACTAGATTTTTTTTGGATAAATCTTTACTAGTAACTATTTGCTAGTAAGAAAAACAGCTGCAGCCCATTACCAAAGGATTGTTTGTGGTGCTTTTAGAGTTGCAATTGACAAACTGAACCTATTTAAATATATAATAAGTTGGAAAAAACTATTTTTCTTAAAAAATTGTGTCTGAAAATAACATATTAATCAGCTGTTCATAAAACTTGCAACTTCTTGCTGGTTTTGCGTTTTTGTACTTTCTTGCATATTTCTCTCATTGGGAGTAAATATTGGCTTACTCTCCGAAATTTGGTTACTGGCAAGTTACTGGATATTTTTTGCTGGAGAATACGAAAACACAACTATTATTTTTAATTGGCACTTCCGGCAGTGCCCTAACCGATTCCGGTAATGCATTTGGTCCTTAACCGATTAGGTAACAGCTGCCAAATTTAACCACCGCATGCAAATCTTTATTTTTTAATTAATGATAGTTTTTTTTTGAGAGGAAATATTTAGTTATTTTTTTTATTGTTATTAGAAAAGGAAACACCCTGTGTTTAATTATATGGCAAGGCGAATTTATACAAGGTGGTGTTAATAACGGGTGATTTTTTTGAGGTTAGGATTTTCATGCATTAGTATTTGACAGATCACGTGGGATTTCAGACATGGTGTCAAAGAGAAAGATGCTCAGTATGCTTTGACATTTCATCATGAATAGACTTACTAACGAGCAACGCTTGCAAATCATTGAATTTTATTACCAAAATCAGTGTTCGGTTCGAAATGTGTTTCGCGCTTTACGTCCGATTTATGGTCTACATAATCGACCAAGTGAGCAAACAATTAATGCGATTGTGACCAAGTTTCGCACTCAGTTTACTTTATTGGACATTAAACCAACCACACGAATGCGTACAGTGCGTACAGAAGAGAATATTGCGTCTGTTTCTGAGAGTGTTGCTGAAGACCGTGAAATGTCGATTCGTCGCCGTTCGCAGCAATTGGGTTTGTGTTATTCGACCACATGGAAGATTTTACGCAAAGATCTTGGTGTAAAACCGTATAAAATACAGCTCGTGCAAGAACTGAAGCCGAACGATCTGCCACAACGTCGAATTTTCAGTGAATGGGCCCTAGAAAAGTTGGCAGAAAATCCGCTTTTTTATCGACAAATTTTGTTCAGCGATGAGGCTCATTTCTGGTTGAATGGCTTCGTAAATAAGCAAAATTGCCGCATTTGGAGTGAAGAGCAACCAGAAGCCGTTCAAGAACTGCCCATGCATCCCGAAAAATGCACTGTTTGGTGTGGTTTGTACGCTGGTGGAATCATTGGACCGTATTTTTTCAAAGATGCTGTTGGACGCAACGTTACGGTGAATGGCGATCGCTATCGTTCGATGCTAACAAACTTTTTGTTGCCAAAAATGGAAGAACTGAACTTGGTTGACATGTGGTTTCAACAAGATGGCGCTACATGCCACACAGCTCGCGATTCTATGGCCATTTTGAGGGAAAACTTCGGAGAACAATTCATCTCAAGAAATGGACCGGTAAGTTGGCCACCAAGATCATGCGATTTGACGCCTTTAGACTATTTTTTGTGGGGCTACGTCAAGTCTAAAGTCTACAGAAATAAGCCAGCAACTATTCCAGCTTTGGAAGACAACATTTCCGAAGAAATTCGGGCTATTCCGGCCGAAATGCTCGAAAAAGTTGCCCAAAATTGGACTTTCCGAATGGACCACCTAAGACGCAGCCGCGGTCAACATTTAAATGAAATTATCTTCAAAAAGTAAATGTCATGGACCAATCTAACGTTTCAAATAAAGAACCGATGAGATTTTGCAAATTTTATGCGTTTTTTTTAAAAAAAAAGTTATCAAGCTCTTAAAAAATCACCATTTAGAACAAAAACAAAAATTACAATAACAAATTATACGCATATTGACAACCAGCACAAAACAAAATTACAACAAACACATCATTTTGACAACAGGTACAAGCTCGCCATGAAACCAGCGGATCCGATAACACCACGATTCGTTCAATTGCCATTTGTGATTTTCATATGTCGAAAACAATCGGAAAATTTTACTGGTTGTCATTCGTCATTGCGAAAAATTTTAGCTACGTGATAAAAGTTCATAATCGCTTTAGTACCTCAAAAAGTAAAAATTATTAGGCAGAAAATTGTAGCAAAGTATTTCGGACGCTCACGAAGTGCCAGTAAACGTATTTAAATGTTTGTTGAGGGCAATTTTCTTGTACAAGCAGCCGTCGCCCGAGCAGCGCAAATCGTGGCAGAGAGTTATAAGTCATAAGGAAAATAATAGTGCGATAAGGAACTGGAGCTCGGAAAACTATAATATACGTCTCTACGCAGCACGTACGCACGTGTGGCTGCATTTGCCTTTGTGACCTCAGCAGCGGCCCGAAACACCTTACCAAACCTTTTTGTATTTCTCGCTTCGAACTTCTAGATATCCAATTCTAATTGTCCATCAACGTTATGCCACAATCACGTGCCGCCGCAGCTGAAGCTGCAGCTACTGGCAGTGGCCCACAGCCACTCGTCAAAATTGGCCACTATTTACTAGGCGCAACACTCGGCACGGGCACCTTTGGTAAAGTGAAGATTGGCGAACATCAAATGACGCATCACAAGGTAGCAGTAAAGATATTAAATCGGCAGAAAATCAAAAGTCTCGATGTGGTGGGCAAGATTCGCAGAGAGATCCAGAATTTAAAACTCTTCCGTCATCCGCACATCATAAAGCTTTATCAGGTACATATGCATGTGTGTAAATACTAATAACTTAATTACGAAGGTCAACAATTGTTATAGGTATACTACTGGTACATGTATTATTTCTTCGCCGTCTTTGCTATATATTAACAATTGTTTTTCTCTTCCAAATTAGGTCATTTCTACACCTACTGATATTTTTATGATCATGGAATATGTGAGCGGAGGTGAACTTTTCGATTACATCGTAAAGCATGGAAAGTTGCAGGAGCACGAAGCACGGCGCTTCTTCCAGCAGATCATATCCGGCGTAGACTACTGCCATCGTCACATGGTGGTACATCGAGATTTGAAACCAGAGAACCTGCTACTGGATCACAATCTACATGTGAAAATCGCTGATTTCGGTTTGTCCAACATGATGTTGGATGGCGAGTTCTTGCGCACATCCTGCGGCTCGCCCAACTACGCTGCGCCAGAGGTAATTTCTGGCAAACTGTATGCTGGCCCCGAAGTAGATATATGGTCATGCGGTGTTATACTCTATGCACTGCTTTGCGGCACCCTTCCATTCGACGACGAGCATGTACCTACTCTCTTCCGAAAAATCAAATCTGGTATCTTCCCCATACCAGAGTACCTGAACAAGCAAGTTGTGAATATGGTATGCCAGATGTTACAAGTCGATCCTTTAAAACGCGCCACAATGGAGGAAATCAAGAAGCACGAGTGGTTCCAGAAGGATTTGCCCTCATATCTCTTTCCATCATCAATTGAGCAGGATTCGAATGTCATTGACACCGTTGCAGTCGCCGAAGTTTGTGGCAAATTTGGAGTTAAAGAGGCCGAGGTGCATAATGCGTTGCTCAGCGGCGATCCACATGACCAGTTGGCCATTGCTTACCATTTGATTATCGACAACAAGCGATTTGCTGACGAGGCTGCAAAGACAGAGATCAACAACTTTTTCGTCGCCGGTTCACCGCCGCCTGTCTCACACTCGCCGAGTGAACGCGCCGAAACTATTGGACCGACGGCCTCGAACACTGTCGGTGGCTCAGCTTCGGGCACATCGACACCTAGCGGCACCAGCGGCGCAATGCGTCCACATCCCGAACGCATAGCACCAATGCGCGAACGTCAACTGGCCATGTCGGTACAGGCATCGGGTGGTGCTGCATTTCCCGAGAAAGCAGCGCGTGGCACGCCCATCAAGCGCGCTAAGTGGCACTTGGGCATACGATCGCAGAGCAAACCGAACGACATTATGCAGGAGGTGTATCGTGCCATGAAGGCGCTCGATTACGAGTGGAAGATCATAAACCCCTATCACGTGCGTGTGCGCCGTCAAAATCTCAAGACAGGCAAATACTCGAAGATGTCGCTGCAGCTATATCAAGTAGATTCCAAAAGTTATTTGCTGGATTTCAAATCACTAACCAACGATGAAGTTGAGCAGGGAGATGATGTAATATTGGAAAGCTTAACGCCACCACCGCTAAGCGTACAGGGTGCAATGCCGCAGCAGCCAACAGGCCACCACACTATGGAGTTCTTCGAAATGTGCGCCGCTTTGATTATACAGCTGGCACGTTAAGAGTTTAAGAGGCACGCAAAGGTTGAGGGAGGAACATATTGCGCTATTTTGAATAGCAAAAATAAAGAAAATATGTCTATACAGTGGGAGGAAGAGGGGAAGGTGTAGGTGCCTATTTAATTTAGTTGAGTTCTTCATTCGATTGCCACATATGGAATTTGAATTGTAAGGGAAATTTTAATATCTTCATTTATGCAATATCGCTAACGCTTTTAATAGAAATATAACCATTTACCGTTTGGAAACACGCTTTTTATGTTGCAGACAGAAATATTAAACGAGTTTTAGCTTCTTTAGTAGAATCGCAATTTTTATCGTATTTTTCTAGTAGAATTTTGCGAAAAAAGTTAACTGTGTAGAGGCTGAGAGCGCATTATTTTGAGAAAAACAGATAGCAGCCCATGGGCGTAGCCAGGTAGGGGAAGGGGGGTGCTCGAGCCCCCCCTAACTTTCAAATTTTCCTTATATATATATAAAATAGTACCCTGAAATGCCAGCTTAATAGGATCATAAATTTCATTCTGGCTACGCCGATGTAGCAGCCCATACAACAGATAACCAATTGCATATTAATTAGTATTCAAAACTAAGCGAGGATTAATCATTTTACTTCTCAGGCATAGCATTATAAAATATCTTATTCTCATTTAATAATGCTTTATTCTTAATTTCGCACATTATGGCTTACGTATGTCAACTATGTTACTATATAAATCATAATATATACTTTTAACACTAATCCAAAAAGTTAATCATCAATATTGCAGTGAGTGTATTAAAAAATATATACTAATCCTAGCTGAACAGTACGAAACTTTAAATAAAGATTTACGTACATACAAAATCCAAACCGGGGAAATTAATTTCGTTTCAACTATTCCAAAAGAACTGGACTCATAAGTACCTTCTCCTTTCATTAAGTTATTCTTCCTTACTTTTAGCCGCTGCATTTTCGAGTTGTTTCTTGCGTTTTAATTTGTTTATGAGAGTTTCTATACTATTTGCATCCACTAATCCAATGAATTTATCAACAACTACGCCATTACGAAATGCCAGGACGGCAGGCACGGCTTTTACTTCGAAAGTTTCCACCAAGTCGGCATTTGAATCCACGTCTATTGTAGCCAAATCGATATCTTCCGAATTCTCCAATAGTTCGCGCATTTTTGGGGTAAGAATCTTACAAGGATCACACCATTCAGCATGGAAGTTGACTATAACCGGATTGTCGCTGTTTATTACCTGACAAAATTATGTGAAATCAATCATTTCGATTATATAACAAGATTATTTCAAACTTAGATATTAGGCACCCACCTTTTGATCGAATTCGTAGTGATCCTTGACGTCCACTTTGCGGTCATAGCAACTACTTTGCGAGATGAATTTTTGTGTGGCAGCAGATACAACGGGTGCCACAAGTTGGCAACTGCTCTGAGTACTGCTAACCAATCCGAGGATTAAATGCGGCGCAATTCCTTGAGCAGCAAATTTTAGCATCTTCACCTTATTAATTTTAAGCTGCGAATAGTTTAACACACATATTATTTATATTTAAGCGCATGCAATTGCGAAGCGTCCTCAGTGGAAAAATGAGAGCAATAACATGAGTCTTGAGGTGATGTTACGTATGTCATTTATGAGATAAGTTTGATTTGAATTTATGCTTACTTGTTGCTTTTAAAAATATACGTATGATTAAAAGATGTCTGGTTCTACGCGTATATAATAGGCAATCGCGTTATTTTTATTGAAATTACAATCAGCTGTTCAGGCTGACGTCTCTGAAAAGTGTACCTACTACCTATGACCTTGTACTTTTTCCATCCAAAACACACCGATTTTATGCTTTTAAATAACTTATTTTACACGCTTTTAAAGCTGTTGCTTATAGATTAAAAAAAATGTTCGCGAAATTTGGAAAAATTAATCAATTTATCGAAAATAACTCCACTGTAATGTTTTGACAAGTCTGAAATGTCAAGCCAGAATGATGCCATATTTATTTTTACAATGCGGGCCATAAACGAAGACAATTTGGGTGAGCACGCTCGCGCTGTCAGGTTCACCGTAAGCATGTTTGCAAAAACAAAAATTGATAGTGTTTGGTATTTTAGGATATTTGATCAAGCTCCTGTGTAAGAAAAAACTATTTTAAATAGTTCCACACAGAGTTAGTATGAATGCTCATATTTTTAAATTTTCGATTTTCAAAATAGAAAGATGCTGAGAAGGTCAGCGAAACGGCGCGCTGGAAAGTGGAGGAAAGGCCTTTTTCCTTGCACAGGAACTTACTTGATCAAATAGTCTAAAATACCAAACACTACCAAATTCAAAAAACCATCTTATAAAAAATTGATTTTCAGCAAAAATAGCCGTAGACTTTTTAGATTTTTTTTTGTGAAAGGTATGATCATTTCCTTCCATATAACGCAAGATCAAAATACAAAAAAAAATTTCAGCGACTTGAAATGTTGGTGAACACGCTCGTGCGCATAATCATCGTGTGGGACCACACACAGTGCTACTCAAACTTTCCCCCATATTCGTTTTTCAACTTCCTGAAGTTCTTGACCATTTAAATCATTTCATTGTAAAATTTCATGTGTAAAATTTTGTTTATAGCAGACGGTTGTTATGTTAAATCATGGTTTAAATATATATACAAGCACACATAATGATAACATTTTGGCGTTTACACTTTGCTAAGTGTTTGGCCGAGCTTCTCCAATTTGTGGTGTGCATCTTGATGGTGTTACTCAAATGGAGTGACCTGCAGCCTCCGAACGTCAAAAGGATTTTATCAAAACCGCTATTAAAAGGGCCGGCCGCTATTAAAGAAAACTTATTTAGGCGTTGCTCGGACCAGGGATTGAATCCAGGTCACTAAGTAATCCTATAGAAGTAACAGTTATGCATATTTAACTGAATTAAAAAAGGATTTTTGCGGTTTTTGGACTAATCGCTATTTAATTTTAACTTAATTATTTAATTAACTTAACGCAGCAAAATAAAACGGATCCGAATTATTAATCTGTACTTTTGATAAGAATTCTAAATAATATATATATACATACATACATATGTATGATTGTATTTATCTACATATGTACATATGTATGGATATACTAACAATTTATGTTGCATTAATCATAACGCATGTATGAGAACTGAAGTCGGTTGTATTTTTTGCTTAAAAATTACTTGGTTATGCTAAGTTTCGATGATTAATCAAACTCATGCTTTGAGACGGCAAAGCACAGAAAGTAGTTACTATATACATACATACATGAGCGTACGGCTCTTTTTTGTTAATATTCGCAATGTTAGCAAACTCCATTTAAATCCAAGAATGATACTGTGTACAAAAATTAATAAAATCTGCAAGGTTTCAGCAAAATCGCAAACTTTTTAATACGAATTTCTAAAAAGAATTCAGGTATGCATGAAAAATTTTCAGAATTTTTTTATATGAAAAAAACTCGTAGGACAGTCAGAAAAAAAAAATCTAAAAAATCAACGCGAATTTTTAGACATTTGAAATTTGCACTTTGTAAACTAAAATTTAATGGGCTATAAAACTGCTTACTCTAATTCCTTTTAGAAATGCGTATTAAAAGGTTCGCGATTTGGCAGAAGCTTTGTTGATTTTTCTTAAATTTTGTAAACAATATCATTCTTGGATTCAAATGGGATTTGCTAAAACATAAACCATATTTTAAAACAAAATTAACAAAAACTACAGAAATGCAGCGAACTTCTATTGAGAAATTTGTACAAATTGTCGTGGTTGGGATCAAGATAAAAATATTTGTGCATTCACACGATTAGGATACGATTTGCACCAAATTTTGGGCAAACGCCCTACACTGCATTTAGACTGAACATATTCTACTTATCAAGTTTATTAATTGCACAATGAAATCTCCAAAAACGTAAATTTTGAGTTACATCTCTATATTATTAAACGTGGAATGTGTATGGACGTATATATATGTCTATCTACTGGTTAAAAAGTAAAGATTGACACATAAATATTTATCCGAAATCGTTATAACAATTGCGATTGATAAAATGAACGCTTAGCGCAGAGCGCGCTGAGGCGAGTGGTGGCAATGTCGTCGGATACTATTGAGCGCACAGATAAGATTACTTCGCCTTAGCGGGCTAGCGCTAGGGCAATTTCCATAAAATTTAAGTTCCCTGAGAGTTTCCAAAAACAGTAAGTAGGTGCTATTGGAGTGTAAAGCGTCATCGGCACGGTCGAATGCCTCACGTCAACGTATTGTTATACATATCTATATACGTTTACTATACTATATGTATATAGGCGGACAATTGTTGCATTTCTTATTGGTAATCGTGTCTGACGTCGTCTAGCGACACGCTGCAGGAATACAGCGGGAAACACTATATGTATGTATGTATACGTGTGCACGAGACCATAAATATATATTTATGAACAGCGAACTGCAGTGGATTGAATTACAATTAGTTTGCTGCAAACAGAATCAAATAATAAATACAAATACAATAGTACATACAAATTTACATAGCAGTAGCTTATTTAATTTACTTAATTTTTACTACATATGTACGTATGTACATATGAAAGCACATGGGAGCTCATACATGCATGCATACATACGTGGTTTCAGTGACCAACGCTCTCCTAAGTAAGTTGCTGGAGGAACTTACGAAAACGCAAACTGTGATAATCAATATAGCCAGCGGTTTTGAATTTCGCCTTCGCGCACTCAACCAAAACATATTTACACAAACAGAATATGCACATGGGCTACATAAGTACATATGTACATCCATTCGCGCCGTAGTTGGCAAACATATGTGATTTTTTTTACCCCTTCCGCCAACTTCCTTTGACAGCCTCTCTTTCAAGCACCTCAATATGCAAACGAGCAGCAGCAGCAATAGCAGTAACCACAGCCATTACAATGTAGCACCCTCAACACCAGTCACTCCTGGCACGCCCGATTCAGCGGGCATATTAGTCGGTGCTGCGGGTCGAGCTGTTTACGAGAAACGTAATAAAACGATAATGCACTATTTTCGTGACCGCACACCGAGTCATACGCGTGCACAACAACAGCAACTCTACTATCAATACCATCAGGAGCAGCCACAAGTCAGATTAAACCGCAGGCGACCAGAAGCAGTAATTTATTTAAAGGAACCACATCCAATCAACAAGCTGGCGCTACTAAAAAGTGCAAGTACACGCGACTTGTCGCGTTTGGTTGTCGAGGAAAAGCAACCAGTTGCTCCTACACCACGGGCAATGATTACACATTTTGACAGCTCAACAACTAGCAGCACCGGCACTGCCTCCTCGAGAGAGTCAACAGCGGATGACCATAAGCGACAACGCGCACGTGAACGTAACTACTGTGAGGAGTATTGTGGGCAACGTATCACCGAGCTAGAAACACGTATAACACACTTGGAACAGCAAGTGCAAAATGAGCGGACCGTGGCACAGGATCTATCCACGCGCATACATGAACTCTTGCGACGCGTAGAGCAGCTAAGCCAATTAAATGCGCCTGATAAGCGAAAACGCAGCAGCATGCGCAAAAAAGCGTCACAGGGAAACGCAAATATGAACTCACAAGCTTCAGTGCAGCCTTCAAAGTTAGTGGCGTGGATGAATTTGTCAAACTGGTTTAAGCAACGGCCAAGTATTGCAACGCTGAAAGAACAGAATATCTATAATGGTAAGAGGTTTAGATTTAAATTAAGGTTTTTATTGAAATTGGCTGTGGTGGAAACGGAAGAGAAAAGTACAGATGAAAAAAAGCGTACAAAGTGTAGATCAACATGCAAGAATGGTTTAAAGTTCACGTAGGGAAGCGTAAATGATGAACCTTGGGAGATAGTACTTTATGGGTTTAAGCCGAGCTATTAACTTTGGCTTAATAAGATAAGGTGATTACTACTATTTCTGGCGCGAGTTTGTGAGCATTTCATGGTGGACAGCAAGTTTAAGTATTACAAGAGCTGTAGTTCACAAGAACAATTCAGTGCTACAGCGTAAAGCCACGCCATATTCCCCAGCTTATGACTCAAACAAGGAACGTATTAGTGAGATAAATACTAACATTTGTTAAGTTATACAACAACAAAAAGATAGCAAGTGGAACTATTAGGGTTCTGCCGAGGCATGCAATATCTACAACTATAAATTTAATCAGCATTTCAATTGATATCAATTCCTAATGATAAGTATTTCGAGTAAAGAGCTAAAGTAAAAGCGAATCAAAAAGTTTTTACACCTACAAATGTACCAGCATATGCATGAATTTATTTATTTACGATACTATGTACATAATATACATATTATGTATATACATACATATGTGTATGGAAAGTCAGATAAAATATTTAAAAGTATTACGTGTACGCAATAGAGTAGTGGGAAAGCGAAGAGTTCATAAAAAAATTTAAATAAAGTTGACTGAAGGCTATGGAGCACCAATCGAATTTTTTGGGAATTAACTAACTTATCCTTCAGGTACTATTGAGTTTCTCCAATCGACCAGTCGAAATAATAATAGATAATAGACTCCGAGCGGCGATTGTATTTTTATGAGAAGCTGTTTTTCATGGCAGAATACACTTGGAGGTTTGTCATTGCCTCTCGAGGGGCGACCGCTATTAGAAAAACTTGTGTATGTTTTATTTTTTGGTGTTGGTCGGAAACTGGACTCGAACCCGAGACCCTGCCGATTAGAAGGCCGACAAGCCTTGATTATTTGTGGTCAGCGACCTAATTCAAGTTTTATTTATGAATTCAATTATGTCATGAAGAAAAGAACGCGTTTTTGCCAAATAATTTTGACAACTTTTTTCTTCTCATTTCTAGATGAGCCTTGTTTCGATACAGAAATCGAAATGGTACTCAAACACGAGGTACACAAAACTGTGCCGAAAATCGTTGTGGACTGCTGTGATTTGATCGAGGAACGTTATCGCAAGTCTTCAGAGCCCATCGAGGGCATTTACCGGCAATGTGGCGATTATAATAAAATGCAAAGTCTGCGCTTTCGCATCGATGCAAATGATTATGAGTCATTGCGGCAACCAAATGTCGACATTCATACATTGACCGGCGTGCTAAAATTATTTCTACGCGAAATAAAAAGTCCACTTGTGAGCGCAAATGAAGCGAGGACTTTTATTGGTAAACCGAATCAGTGGGGTAAGCCATCGTTTCGCAACAAATTTATGAGTTATTGCCAAGACATTCAATTGTCATCGTTTTTTATCGTTATTTTAGTCTTAATGGATGTTGCAGCGAAAATCGAAATTCTCAAAAGACTGATCCGTACATTGCCGGAAGTAAATAGGGATACAATGAATTACATATTTGCGCATTTAAACAAGTAAGCGTTTCAAATATAATTTGTTTGGTATATCAGTAAACGATATTTTTGGTAATTTCCAATTATAGACTCACAAAAGTGCCTCTACAGCAAGTCAGCGCCGATACGCTTGCCATTTCCATAACCCCCACCATTTTTCATCCCGTTCAGAAGGGCGCAAACATGCAGGATTTACAAGAGTTGGTCAGAGAGAGTCAACTGCTGGCGGATTGTGTTAAAATTATGATCGAATATCAAAGTCGAATATTCGAGTAAGTAGTGTATATGGGCTTTGCGTTTTCTATGTTTGTGTTTGGTTGTGGTTTTGGTTGTCCTAATTAATTTTAATTCAAAGAAATGTTTGAACTTACGGCTTTCGCTAATCCTTCCCCGATACAGATGCTCGGTCGAGCGACGGCATAAACGAATCAGTGTGCGACGCTTGCGGAAGACACTCTCTCAACCGGATATGATTTTCCAAAATTTCTTTTGATCAAATAATACTAGGATTATAGATTGTTAAGTATTTAACAAAAAATTTTATAAAAAATAAACTGATTTTTATTTAGAAAAATGCTTACTTTTATTTATGTTTAAAAATAGACCTTGGCTTTCTTTGAATTATCACCCACCTTATGATATACTGCTATTCTTCCTGCAGACGTAGTCGATGTTGCGTTAAGAATGCAACGTCAAATATAGCTTCCTGCTGCAGCAACTCATCCACCTCATATTTCATAGACTCCTCAAAGGCGTACAATATGCTCGTGTCATACAGCATCATCTTGCAATGTACTAAAGCCAAAATACAGTTGCGTAGACGTGCAATCACTTCACGATCTGCTCTTGGTATAACTTCGCTCAAGTTCTGCACATAACCACCGTCCCCGCCATCAGCTTCGGTATTGACTGTAGGTGATATCCATATAAACCCGTTGTTGCCGAGTATAATTGATGCACCACAAGGCAAGTTATGAAAGTGCGTCTTGCGCCGCTTTACTAATGATGGAAACACTTTGACCAAAACACCCTGTGAGAGTTTGCCATATTTCAAGCTGCGTGTATAGAGAGATAGCGTGCCATCGTCGAAGATGTTTTGCACTTCCGCAGATATAAGATCACCCTCTTGCAGGTATTTACGCATCATTTGCTCATCTTCAACACCTCGTCGGCGCAACTCGCCACCGGGTAGATTCACAGATGACAACAGCAATGCCGAGTCTAGGCGTGAGTTCGTGTTCACCTTCCAGCGTCTTTGTTGCACCTCCGTGATGCGCGCAACAACAACATCACCGATTTCGCCAACATAACGACTTTTGAGCGGCTTTATTGAGATAAGTTTGTTCACCTGCTCCATTACACCTGCCACTGAGGCCTTGATGTCATCGCCTTCAACATACGTGCCGTGTCCTTTCATGAAACCAAACTGCCCGGTAACAACTTCGCCGGGCGTGTAGAGACGCGGCGCTCTAGTTTGGTTCTGTGCCAACAGGCCCATATTCACGCGGTCAATAGCAAGCCGAATATTGACGTTGGTAGTCATTTTAAAAGTTTTTAAATCTTAATTATTGAAATTTTCTGTTGTGAAAAACCAAGGCGAATTTATACAAGATGGTACAAGGCTACAGTGTTGCCAGAAAATTTTTGTCAAAAATCTACCTAGTGCTCATGTTTCATTGACATTTTATGCTGCTAACTTGTCTACACAGACAGAGCAACAAGTTGACCAATCTGTCTAAAAATCAAAAAATTTTGATTTTGCTCCAACCTGACGAAGGTTTTCCAACTTGCCTACACAGGGCTTATTTACCACCAACTGGTTGGCCGATAAATCGATCCGTGTGTAGCGAAAATGAAGAAAATTGCAGTAAAAAGCCACTACCAGATTTTAAACAACGAACAAATGCGATTATAGTTGCGTTCGCGTAGCCGTTAATTGTTCATGTTTAACCAAAACTTACAAGTTTTTGCGTTCGCGTACGCAAAAAACTTGCAAAGTAAGGGAAATTGAGAGAGAAAAGTGACATTTCATTTTGAGGGGAGCTGCTGGTTTCTGCTGGAAAAATTTTCGCCAACAGCAATTTGCCAACAGGAAAATAGCTGATCAAAAACAGCTGGTTGGCATTTACGCAAATCACAAAATTGAAAATGATGGTTTGGAAGTTAAAAATTACAAAATTACTTGTAAGAAATAAGTAGTTATTTGTTTAATCAATAAACTGTGTCAGTATAACACTTTCTGATGACTTTTCGTACGTTTTAAATTTTACACTTTTGACTGTAAACAAAATTTCTATCAGCTGTTCGTCTAACTTGCAAGTTTTCTGTTCGCGTACAATTTTGGATATTTCTCCTTTGTGAGAGAACAGATGACATTTCGCCGGAATTTGGCAGTTGGTTGGTTTCTGTTGGAGATTTTAAACGAACGCACCTAATAATTTGTATTCTATCATTCTTGACAGCAGGGTTGCCGCAAGATTGCCAGATGGCTACAAATTTTCCACCAAATTGGGTGATATTAATTATACACAAAAAGATATTTATCAAGATTACTTTTAATTTTTTTGTAAGTTATTAACAAATGCAAATATATTTTACATATTTTCAATTCTCTTAAAGGATTCGCAGTCGATAGTCGTGAACAAGAAATGTTAGCTAATTTTTGCATTTAAATAAAATTCCTGCTTTTGTTAGCACATTTTATAGACACTTTATTCGTAAGCTTGCAAGAATAAATAATTGTATATGTGTTTGCTGAGAATTGTATTCTCCTATTCCCCTAGTAAACTTTTCGGTCTATAGCATACGCATTTCACTCAAGGGCCAAAGTCGACAAACGACCCTACTTTTTACCAACCCCTGAGGTATTGGACCATAGTAACGTGAATCTGAACTATTTTCGCTGTTGTCACCTTCAATCCAGATGAAACCTCGCGGCACGTACTCCTCTGTAAATTCTATAAGTTTTGGTTTTGTACTTGCTAAGATAGCAGCATCAGCGGCAGTATCTGTGGGTGGTGCATTATTCTTTAAAACGATTCTATCACCGGGTATACCGATAATGCGTTTGCATATAAATTGCTTTGGGTCGGTGGGTGAAACAGCGATGATGATATCGCCGCGTCTTGGGTTATGGAAGCGCGTCGATATACGCTCTGTCAGCAGGATATTTTTCGAATGTAGAGTGGGCTCCATTGATGGGCCATTGCACTTTTGGTAATTCAAAATGATAAAGAATTTTTATTTTTATAGCAGCAATTTATTCTTTCAACTTACCACCACAAAATCCCCGACATATTCGAAAGTGCAGTGCGTAAGGCAGGCGTACATAATGCTGTATTTTACTACATCTTTAACCTTTGAAAATACAGACACCATCCTTGCCTGAATTACGAGTTATAATACATATTTAAACTAAATTTAACTACAATTTTCGTAAATGTTGCTAAAAAGATGTGCGGCGGCGAATTAATTAAAATAAACAGCTGATTGACTGGGGTATATTCAGTGTGAGCAATATATAAGGTTAGGACCACAATAAACTTACTAAAAAGCGGTAAAACTGCGGTACATGCTTTCTCGTAGGACTATATTGGGCTACTAACAAAGGAACCAGATTGCAGAGGCGTTAAATATAAATAACACAATATAAAAAATTTAGTTTTGTTTTAAACGACAAATTTTATTCATTACGAGTCTGATTAATTTATAGTTACAGATTAATTTTTACTCTGAAGCTTTGAATTTAGATACATACATATTTCATTGTATCTTAAGTGCTTAAAACAAAAAAATTTGTTTGCAAATATTTTGGTTGGAAAACCACGTTACTGTTTTAGGATGTTAAACATTAAAATATATCTCTATGTAGATCAATTCTCAATCTCAAAATGCAACCAGTTTGGCTGAGTTCCAAGTTGTATTAATACAAAGCATCAGCCTCTTTTATTTCTGAACTGTAACTGATGGAAAACTAGCTGATGGCATATTGGGCATTTCCATCAATTATAGTTTAGAAATAAAAGAGGCTGATGCTTTGAATTAATGCAACTTGGAATTCAGCCTTTTTTATGTTGAATCCAAACCTTATAACCATCCATAACCTTATAAATTACATTTGTTTTGGAAGGGTTTTTGTATTATTGGATTTGCCACTTTTTAAATACATTTATATATTTGTAATATTCTTGAAGTGACTTTTGTTCCATGAAAATGCAATATTTCTAATATCAATCTGAGGCATACACTTATTTATTAAATTAATACATATATTGTTTTTGTTAATTCTTTACCTATTCCAATTGCGTACAACGACACCGCTGCGACTATGCGGTTTAGGGATGTCTATTTTTATTAATCTACTAAAATGCGTTTGTCGTTTGTTAATTTAAATTTTAAATAAGGTACATTTAACGCTTTAAAAATACTATTAAAATTAGCTAACTGCAATTAAGGAAAAGACTAAACAAGTATTGTTTTTAAGTATATGTAATATGTATATCAAAAATAAATAAAAAAATAAATCAATATTAACAACAATCGGAGAACCATGAGTTCGCACACTTTTTGCCAAAAGCGTGTTTTGCGGATATATATATATATATATATATATATATGTATATCTTAAAATTATCTCAGAAATTTAACTACGCCAATTTATTCAGCTTTCTGGCCCCCTTCTTTCTGGCGCTTGGCTTCACGTTCACGCACGTCTAAAGAGACCAAATCAATACTGGCCACATAGGCATGTAGACAAGAAATTAATGACTTGACAACAGCGAATGGAGCCATAGCGATGGCCAAAATTCTGAAAAGTGAAAGTCCAAGGACTGTCGGTAAAAAAAAATGGAAAGATTATTCAGTAAGTATATCAAAATATTCAGACAAATATCAAATGCAATTACGTACTCAATGGTCCATATGTGAAATGTAGAAGATACAAGCAAACGTAAAAAAGTTCATTTGCACAACACATAAAGGTGAGCACATTCTTCTGATAGTAAGTGCGCATTATCGCATTTTCTTTGACGTCAAATGTTTTGTGTGATGTTTTGCCGATCATGGCGCTCCTATAGAAATTAGCGAATACATTGATTATACAATGTACATTATGATTAAGTTGAGCAACTTTTTCTAACTATGTACTTACGTTTGCATATAAAGCCAATGACAGGCGATATCTATGGCAATTGAGACTTGGAACCAGAACATATACTTCGGATAGAAATAGCTGAGTGTAACCAAGAGGCCAGTGGTGCCACAACGATCAGTCAATTGATCCAACATGGCGCCAAAACGTGTACCTATGGAGAAACAAGACAAAAGTGATTGGAAATATGTACATTATACAACAACTATTTTTTAACACTGCGAAAATTTATAATATGACTTTAATGGCACTTTGCGAAAACCCCTTAATATATTTTTTAAACGTATAAAGTTTACGACATTCAATACGACACTTTACGTTGTGAATACCCCAAAATATAATATAAAATATGTTCACAAACATTAAACAAATAAATAAATAAATAAATATACCTACTATGCATGTCGTCGGTTAAAGTACAAAGCCGCGTATCAACAAAATGCATAGGGCCAATTTCACAGTGCGTAGTTAACTCAGAATCGACGGTTAACTAGAGATTTTCAGTACAAAAATCTGTAGTTAACTCCCGATTCTGAGTTAACTACGCATTGTGCAATTGGCCCATAACCGCGTTTGTGAGGTTGCATAAATTATTTTCTTGAGAGTAAAGAAACTCATATTGCAAAACGGTTCTCTTTTTTATAAAGCAATCGCATTTCTAGCTATTTCAGGGCGAATGGATAAGGATTGAGCCAAGAGCGTGCGTGAGCAAATCCAATTTTTGGCAAAAAATGTCAGTTACGCACTTTTGAAAAAGGACGATACGCGGTTTTGTATTTTACGACGATGTATGTATGATCGATCCTTGGTTGCCTATCAAAAACGAAAATTATGCGATATTAAAATTCTGATAAAAGTGGTTGCTAATGAACTTTAGCTGATAAAAAAGAAATTAAATTTAATTGAAGTCGTTTAGGTTTACTAAAAAATAGATAACAATATTTCATTAAAAAAGCTCACTAAAATTGTAAAGTATGATGCCAACATACAATAATGGTATCGATGTATGTCACCTGAGGAACCCGGCGAAGGAATGTTACTTATGCAGTATTTCCCATATAAAATTTTAGAAGCATATGCATATGTATTTAAATTACTACCATTACAAAAACATAGACACCAGCTGCTTCTTTCTTCCTATGACTTACTTTGATTAAATGCACGTGCTGCATGTCCATCGACTGCATCCAAGAGGGCACTTATGACATAGCACCAGCCAGCAACGACATAATTGGTGGACATGAACCAAAAAGCTATCAGTGCCAGCACTATGCGCGCGTATCCTGTAGAAAAGAACAAATCGAATTAGTGTTTCAATGGGTATACAAATGAGTGGAAAATCAATAATTGGTCGTGAAACAGGCAAAGATACATAGGTACACAAATTATTATCAGACGCAAACTAATTGAATTAGCATCAAATGCTTTGCCTGCTATCCGTTTTGTAATATGCAAGCCGCATATGTTTATATGTAATGCCCTTTGCACTTGTATCACATTACTTTTTTACGTTGAAGACGCACCAATTAAGTTTGGGATGAAAAAGAAGACGTTATCATGTTCCGACACCGCCATTGTAGATTTTCACTGCAGATTTTCTTCTAGCTGTTGTGATGTGGGTATCGTGATCTTGTCGTTACTGCCAATTGCTTGCCGGTGAGGTGATGTAAACTGGTTTGTGATGCGACGAGATGCTTTCGTGCCTGCACTATGTAATGATGACGACAGCAACGTTAATAGCGCTGATTAATTGAAATTAATTGAATTGCGTCTTTGCCCCCTTTTTAATTGTCGAACAAGCGTGTTTTAGGCAAATGTTTCAATATTAACTATTTAATACGCGATGATCTTTGATTTTTTATAACTAATTTCTTATTGGAATGCAAATTTATACTGTCGGAAGCATTTCCCTGCAATTGCACTTTTTTGTATCGGAATTTTTCATCGCCAACGAAATTTTTCTACAACAAATTCAATTGGGTTCTGTTCACTGCGAACTAGCTAAGCTAGGAAGGCAAACAATGCATCGATGTTTTTGAAACATTCCGTTCATGGATAGTATCGGTTCAAAATTCGATGTTTTCTATCGATATTTCCAATTTTCTAAAATAGCTAAATTTAGTGTTGGGAGTATCGAGTACTTTTGAGATTCGAGTACTTTCTTTACATATACATATGTTGGTAACATTTCAATGCTTAGTAAAGAAATCTCACTAGACGGCAGGACTTCATTCAAATTAATATATTAATTCCAAATAACGTCGATTGAATGCTACTTTGGAGTACTCAGTATCGATACTTTTATAAATTGATGCATCGAAAAACATCGATGTAATTTTGCACTGACATGCCGAATCACGAATGAGTTTTTCATTAGATATGTGGTAGTTTTTGCAAAATTAGAAATCGACAACAATAACATTAAGGTACAAACAGAGGATTGGTACGCTTAAACAAGCAAGTAACTGCGCTAACAACATTAAGGTATAAAAAGAGGAAGTAATACGCTTGGACTAGCAAGAACCTGCGTTAACAGGTTGTAAAAACACGCACAAAAATAATAAATTGGTTCGCACAAACATGGGCTCAAAAGTTGCTTTCATTTTTTTTTTATGCTTCGTCATCAAATTAGGGATCTTCAACAAAAGTGATAAACTGTTGATAAACCTGATAAAATGATAAATTTATCGTTTTGATAAATGAACTGTCAAACTTTGTATGGACATCTATTTAACCAAAGTTTATCAACGTATAAATTTCAGCAAAATTCAACCCTGACAGACTGACAGGTGATCGAGTTTGCACCGAATACATAAAAAGCAAATTAGTACAATGGACGCGGTAAGAATGAAACGTAGCTAGCCAGCTAAGTTAAATAATAAACAAGTTTGTGGAATTATTTACCAAGGTGCGTTCATGAAAGAATGCAGATAAACTGATAAATTTAAGCAATGTATCCCTTTATCACTTTAGATGAAGACCCCTATACTTTATTTAATCTGGTCCATTTCAGAGAAAATAACATGGCGCTGAAATTAAAACGTCAGCCAGAATATTTTTTTCTTTTATTTCATCTTGTCAGATCATGTGATTAGTTGGATCATGCCGACTTCCAATACCGCGTCTGTTTGAGTGCACCCATATACCGACAAGCGAAAATGAAGAAAATTGCAGTAAAAAGCCACCACCAAATTGTAAATAACGAACAAATATAAAAAGAACGGCTTATGTCAAAATCGCCCGACTTTTTTCCAAAATGCGTTTAAAACGAGCTAATCTTCTTCTCGCGTGATTTTGGATTTTGCTTCATGCAACACCGCCTCGTATAAATTCGCCTTGGATGAAACCGTGCATTTGGCAATACTGTGGGTAACTCTGGCGGAAGCGAAGGCGAAGCGAAACGAAAAAAACTCGAATAGATTTTCTGATCACAGTCCTTGTGAATTTTGAGCAGCTAAATTCGTGCTTTAAAACCGTGAAAAAATCATTGAAAACTGATAAACTATAAATAACTATATAGAAAAAACATTTAAAAACTAAATACAAGTTGTGAAGTGAGTGATTTGATGCAGAAAATGTGTTGAAAATTTGGCCCACAGAATGAAAAAATAAGTGGAAGAAGAATTGGTGACAGTGCTGTGTGTAAATGTGCAAAGCAGAACAAGGAGTACGACAGCAAGTTAAAAAGGCGAAGCACGTATGTAGATTTTTGTGCGTAGCTGTAAGCTGTAATCAGTCATCGAGCTGTTAAAAATAGTGCATTTAAACCAACGAGAAAATAAATGTTTATCATCGTGCGATGGCGAGGTGAAACGCTTCAAAATTGCTGTAAATAATTTGTGGAAAATTGCTTTCACCAAGGCCATAAAAACTGGACAATTTTTTGCGGTGTTAGACCAAGTCGCGCCGTACGGAAAATTGTGCGAAGTATGCGATAAGAATAAGCGAAAAAAACAGCATGAGTTTGAAAATTGTATGCAGAGTCGAGTAAAGGCATATGACGTGTTTTCCAACCACTATGTAGCGATAAATGAGGCAATCTCGGCGAGTCATGCGCGAAAAATGTAAAAGTTGAATACCAAAAATAGTTTACTTATAAAAATAATAAAAAATGCATGCGGTTGATATTTAATGAGTTTAAAAAGGGTTTTGTTTTGTAAAAACCCTTTTTAAAAATTTTCTATGGGTCAAGTATTGCAAAATTTTGAATCTTTGCAATTTTCGCTTGTTTGTAAAAACTATTACAAGTTTTCATGTTCTGGCGTTGTTTTCTTCTCAAAAACTTTGAAAGAAGGGGAAATTGAGAGAGCAAAACGACACTTGATTTTGAGGGAAAGTTGCAAATTTTACTGGATAAATTTTTACTTGTAACTGCCAGTAAGAAAAACAGGAATGAGTAATTTGGAATTGTAAAGTAAATGAAACTAATTAAAATTTCATAAAATTAGTAGCTACATGCTGTCAAGGTTAGCGTCGTACTTTTTTGGATAGTTGAGAGATCGCGATGTATTCTATGATTCTTGTTGAGAGATTCTGTTCTCATTGAGTGTGATTCTCGAAAATTAAGCTACTGGCAATTACTGGATAATTTTGAACTGGAGAACACATGAACAGACCTAATTCCTTATATATAAAATTTAGCACAGGTTTTCTAACCTTAAAACTTAAAAAAATGATCTCTTGCCGTTTTTTGCATTTCGTTTTGAATTCCTTCTCGGCTGCTTTCTTTTGAGCGTATTTCCTTTCGGACACCCTATTTTTGTCTCTTTCTCTCTACGGTGGTTTCGCATGCGGCATATTAAACCGAGTGATTGAACGGCGAACTCTTTTGACAAGTCGCCGTTTTTCATATTTTACTTTTGTGTATGTTACGCAGCGAAAAATAATGTGAATTGATCAAAAACTTCTAAATTCACAAAAAAATGTAAAAATCTTTTAAAATTTATAATAAAACGGACATAAAAAAATACCGAACGAAAAAGGATACAGATGAATAAAAAAAAATAAACGTGGTTAGTCTAGTGCCGTTCTGATGTATCACTTGGGGGAAAAATTGCTGATATGCATTGATTCTGTGTTAAAATAGCCCAAATGAACAAAAAAATAAATTGACGAAAAACAATATAGTACAACATTTCAAAGAAACTCCACTGCAGACATAGCAATACCATTTCAGTGGAAAGTCAATTGTTACGTTACGAAGAACTGGCGCAGCCATTAGCAGCTTTTGTGGTTACATACGCCAACGTCGTCATAGCCACGTACGCCTGTCGTGTGAACACCGGCTTTGGGATAACAAACCTAACCACTCAACGCTGCAGAGTCGTACTGATATAAATTGTAATTCGTGTCACTACATTTCAGCCGTCTAGAGTACACCGCCCATCTGAATAATCGTTTGTTATTTATTTGGATCCTTATTTTCTCCGTATAACATAAATAAAGAAATTACTCACGATTCCACGGCCAATCACGTTATACTCTTTCTATTTTAATGGCATTTGTTGGCCCTTCTCCCCTTCTGGTGCAGAAAAATGAACAATGAAATCAGTGGTAAGACTCTTTTATCTGTCACCGCATCGATCGCCGCCGCCATCATACCTGACACACCTATTGTGTCCATAGCCGGTGCCACTTTAAGCGAAATCACTACCACAACCACCTCGACAACCACGACACCAACGCCTATATCCTTTATACCTTCAACGAAACTCAACAAAGACCATAGTATAGCCAATTTGCCAAACAATCCAATGTCTGATGCTGCTGTCACCAAGTCAGCAGGAGGCAACGGTAACACCACTGCCAACGCCACTGCAACAAATATAACAAGAGCCAACGACGCGCTCGCTGATCCAGGTGGAATAGCCGGTAAAAATGCCACAACAGAGCATCCAATTATTGTGAATGCTGCCCATGTTGGAAAAACAGATGAAGCTACTACGAATACAACAATCGACACAAAGGTAAGTGGTGCATTTCATTTGCTCTATCTCTACGTACGTATGCATGTCCATATGTATGTTTGGAACATACATATGTACATATATACTATAAGCAGAATTAAATCACTTAGTACAACCTTGAACAAATGTATCGCTTTTACGTTGCGGTGTCCATAGAGTCCGGTGCTACTGCCTAGAAGTGGGAGCGAAAAATGGCGTCACACATAAGTTTGATGATTAGAGAAGACACTGGCTATTGAAGTTTTGTTGATCATTGTGGCAGGGAAATAAAAATTAGAAATCAATAACATGGCCTTTAAAATGCTCACGTTGGGCTTGGTATACATACATATGTACATACATATATACACTTGTAATGTACTTTCCAAATGCATTTCACAAAGTGTTCATAATTTTTCTACGCTAATTTTTAATGCCTTTATTTTGCCACATTCAGAGAACAAGTGATAGCTATGCTTGTATGCTTCTATGATTTTATTGAATATAGTAAAAACTCTTCATTTCTTAACCTTTATTCTTTGACCTACGGTTTCCAAATGACTGCCGCTGTCAGTCAAAGCCGCTTGACCCGGAATTGCATACTCATTTCCAAATTTATGTCTATTTCAGAAAATTCAAATATTTAGTCAATGTCTTCTGTTGGCTGTCGTCAATCACAACACATGATTTTTAACTGTAGTCAAAGCGTTGTATGCATATAAGTGTGGATGTATGTATATCTTAGCACAAAGGGATCGGTCTTATACATATTTATAATTGTGTATATTATCATAGTATGTATTCTCCCGTATACATAATATGTATTTACATATCACCAGACAAACGTGTACACCTTTTTGCAATGCCTTAATATGTACTTTGCTTGGTATTCAAAGTGTTTGTCGAATGTTTACTGTTTGTCACCATACCGCACCTTCCATTCGCACACTGATAGCAGATAGCAGCAGCGGTGAGTACGTACTGGTGACAAGGCAATTGCAGAATTCACCTAGAATTGTTCTGTCGTATATTCCTTGCTATCAGCACCTACTTGATAAAAAAAAAAGCATATATAATATGTATGTACATTTGTACATATGTACATTTGTACATACATACATAAAAAAAATTAAAACATAGAAAACCGCAATGCACCGTTAGCGGTGAGTGTTGCGACAATTCCCAATTACCCAAAAACAACAGAAACAAACTCGGAGGCCGGGGGGAAACGACTTGAAATGACTACATAGTCCGTTGGAGCGCACATTAAATCGTTGATGTTCGGTGTATGCCCCTCTGCGAGTAAGTAAAGTGTTAAAGTGTTTTAATTTACAGGCAAACCATAAACCACATTATTGCAACGACGCCGCGACTAAAACGAATCAAATTTTATACTTCAATACCTACGTGTATATATTTATTATAAAATACGAAAAATATGTTATAAAAATCTGCTTTTCGTTAGCATATTGTTTTAAAAATTGATAGATTACAGCTTCGAATGGTGTAAAACCAATTTATTAAACTCGAATTCAAAAGTTGGGAAATACATATGTAAGTAAGTTCAGAGACCGATAACAAATGCAATATTAAAAAATTTTAATTTTAAAGTGCATTTGCAAAGCAATTGGATCGAAAGTTAATCCGAAAAAGTTTTCTTACTTTAAAGTGAAACTAACGGCTTTTGTGGAAATCAAGAAATATTAAGGTTATGATTACACCATTCGCTTTGAGTTTTGTGTGCGTGTGTGTGTGTGTAATAGTGCATGTGAAAAATGTAGAGCTGATTAATTTACAAAACATGTTTCAAATGACCCTTGAAAGCAATTATCAAAATTACCTGTGTCCAATCTAATATTATACTTTCTTAAATTTTTGCACTCTTTCACTCCCTTTTTTAAATGCTGATAGTCAGACGAGAATTTTAGTATTGATTTTAATACATTTTACTCTTCACGCTTTATATTAAACTTTTACAGAAATCTGATGTCTCAGATTTGGAAGAACCCGATTTAAAAAAGCTACTTGAAGAGGCCTACACCTATAAAACGCCCAAAGATAAAAAAGATAAAAGCGAAATATTTTTGGTAAGTAAATAAAATATATCTGTTTAAATCAGAATATTCCTAGTTATTACCAACTTATCCTGCAGGACTTGCTACAAAAAGTGGAAAATGAAGATCTGGGCATAACATCCACGCGTTCCGATAGTCATCGCCATCACCCACACTCTCAAAATCGGCATCAGCAAAAACAGGGCGGCTCCCTGCAAGATCTTCTACAGTTGCCACCCGATTATCGCCGCCAAAATCACACATCGCGCCACAAGAAGAACTCGTCGGTATCATCGCGCCAACGTGAAGGTGGCAGCTTGCCCAGTAACGTAAATGTCGCCAATTGTTTGCTAAGTAGCTTCGAACAGCAGGCGTCCGTCTACGCAGATAAACGAGTTCGCCGTGCGATTTTGCTAGGCGTGGAAACCGCAACAGTAGCTTTGAATAGCAATAATACTTTGGTTGGGGTAGTTGGTGGCCCTAGCGGCGGGAATAACGCAACCGGAGGACTAAGCACAAATTCCAGTGGCAGTGGCAGCACAAACTCTACGAGTTTATGCAATAAGGAGGGTGGTAATAGCATTGGTGCTAGTGTTACGAGTGTCAGTGGAGGCAGTGGCAACATGGCGACAACAGCGAGCGGCCATAGTGTCGGTAGCACCATGGCAACTGGCGCAGGTATCGGCAATACTGGATTGAAAAACACCAATCCCAAGAGTGGCAGCGGTGATTACATTATTAATATCGGCGATATGATAGATATACAGCAACAACAGCAAATTTTGCCGTCAAAAGCACAAGACGGCGGGCAGGTAAGTGATGATTAAACTCTTCAGCAATTTTTTGCATTTTTGTTCGTTCATAACCCTTATCAGGGCTTGCCGTATTACGAGCGTGTGGACATTGATATGCGTATACCGCGTCCAAACTTGGTTCGCGATGGTGGTGATTTTGCGCCAACACGTTCGCATCATTATGTCGACGAAGTGATACGCTTTCATCAAATCGATAGCGGAGAAGGCGGTTTGTGTGAGAGTGGTGAAGTGGCCATTTCTGTTAACGCTCTTGGTAGCACACTGAAGTCAGCAGCTGCGTCCTGTTCCCTCCCGATGCCGTTAGATGAGCGTTATCGGTCCATTAAATCGGTGATGGGTGAAAAGGGCGAAGGTGCAGGCGCCAGTGTAAATTCAGTATCGACAGCAAAGAGTTCCACATCTATGGTTCCAAATAGTGGCAGCTCCGGCAACAATTCAAACAATAGCGTGAGCAGTGGCGGTGGTAGCAACAGTATTGGCATTGGCAGTTACAGCAAATCGCTGCCCCTCTCGGTAAGTGAATCGAACGAAAAGTGAGAAAAAATAAATAAGCTTCTAATAATTTTGTCCTTCTAGCGTCAGACAGATGAGAACGGCAATGACTGTGAGCGTCAACAGCACAGCAGCAGCATTGTGGTCAGCGCAGGGCAATCGCAGGCGAAGGCCAAAGCTAAAAAGAAGCCACAAAAGGACAATACCATACCCGTCGATGTGGAGAACGAGGCTGGATATCGCGGCAAAGATCCGGTAGAGGTGTTGGTCAAATTTATCGAGAGTACAGAAGAGGACAGCAAACAGAGCGGTAGTGGTGGGGGCAGTGGCAACAGCAAATTTGGTGAAAACACCAAAAAGAAAGAACGCAGGAAGGAAAAGGTGAAACAAAATAAGATGAAGAAAAGCAACTCGCTGGAAGAGTTACGCAGTTGTGCCAAAATTGATGTAGGCGAGCTGAAGCGGTCAGCCGCCACCACAGAAAGCAACAATGTAACAATGCGCAGCAAAGGAAGTGGCGGTGGCAAGGGTACTAAAAATAACTCTGGCTCTACAGCGGATATAAATAAGAATTTCGATGGAGGTAGCAAGGAAGTAGCAGCTACGGCTGCAGTCAGCTGTAGTAAGCAGGTACCCATAGCGGCTACTACAACAGGAGCAACGCCAGCGAATAATCGCAAAGGCGAACGGCGTTCTTGGGGGACCGAGGAACTACAGTATTTGGGCATTGAGGGCAATGTTGGCAATGCTGGAGGCAACGGTGCCTCCATCAACATTGAAGAGAAGGTGAAGGAAAAAAAGGATAAGAAAAGCAAGGATAAAGAGAAGGAAAAGGACAAAGATCGTGATATCGAAAAAGAGAAGGGAAGGGACAAAGAAAAGGAGAAAGATAAAGACGGCGATAGACATGAAAAACCTACAAATAATAGATTGGACAGTAATGCGAAGTTGGAAAGGCATGATAGAAACGAAAAGATCGAGAAGATAGAAAAACAAGAAAAATTGGAAAAGCCGGATAAGCTGGAGAAACGCAAAAAATCCGAAAGCTTGGTGCAGTTGTCCACCACTCCAACGAAAACTGCCACAAATTTGGAACGTCAAAATAGTCAACCCGCTAATACTCCGGATTTCTCTCCAATCGATTTGCTATCGATGAATACACTAATATCAGAGACTGCGGAATTCCATGTTGTTACCAAGAAGAAGAAGCCAAAGAAGCAACGCGCTTCCATCGACGAAACGCATTGCACGCAGGGCTCGAACTATCACAACAACACAAGCCACAACAGCTACAATTATAACAACAACAATAGCAATAACACAACTGGTACAACTGGCAGTTTTGCACGTGCGCACAATTTGGTAATAAATGCACAGAAAGGCAGCAATAACAGTAACAGCGCCTCATCGTTTGGCAACCAACAACAACTGCAACAACAATCTCGTTACAAATACTATAACAACAATGCACATGGATTCAACACTTACGGCAATAACAACAATAGCGGTGGCGGGGATGGTGCACGCCTTGACTATCACAACAACTATAATTCCAATTATAACAACAACTATAATTTAAATAATAGCAGCAACAATAATCATTCGTACCAACAATACGGCGGCTATCAACAGCAAAGCCAATACCACTATCACCACCATCATCAGCAACAGCAGCATCAACAACATCAACAGCACCAGCAGCAGCAACAGCAACAGCAGCAGCACCAGCAACAGCAACAGCAGCAGCATGTAACTCCTAACACCATGAGCGGCAGCGCCACGGACAAATCGCGCCGCAAGTCAACTTCCTCAGTGCCACCTTCGGAGAAATCCGATTCTAGTGATCTCGATTCGGTGCATTCTTTGCCTATAGAATCAACGGCAGCATCTGCCTCTAAGAACAAACAACGTCTTAAGCCTGCCTCCTCCGCCGCGGCGACGCCCGAAACTCCGAAGAGCGCGACAAGCCTTGGTTCACCAGCGCCTGCGCCCATTTCCTATGCACATATTGCAGCCGCAGCAGCGGTTGATCGTTGGCCCAGCTTGGATGCAGCCAACAATAACAACTCTTCGGCGACTGGCAACGGCAGCTTAAGTGTGGCCACTAGTACGGTTGAACAATCACAACAGCACGCAGCCAATGTGGACGCCACACCTGCCCCTCTGACGAACGCAAATAATGCAGCTGCCACCGCAGCAGTTGTTGCTTCCACAGCTGCAAGCTCAGCCACCAAGCCGGGTAAGAGTAAGAAGCTCGCTAGCAAGCCTGATTTCCCAGAACTGGTAGCCACTAACGCGACGGCTACGGATATCGGTAAAGCCTCAGCTAACCCATCTTCGGCCGCGGTCGCTTCAAAGACAATTTCGTATTCACAGAGTTTAGTCGCTGCGCCAGCTCAACAATCGTCCAGCAGTGTAGGCAATGCGCTCGTGGAAAAAACAGCCGGCGCAATAGTCGAAGCAGCCAGTGGCTCGGGTAACATCAAAGCCAGCAACACCGTCCCAGATGTCAACAAAGTTGACAACAACAGCGTCAGCACAACCCGCATACCTCAGCACCAAGCGACGCAACACCAACAGCAGCTGCAACAACAAACGCTACATAAATCGAAGAGTGTGGAGCACGACAGTTACAGCTTCAACAGCAGTAACTTGGACCAACAGTACCCGGCGCTGGAGAAAACCGTGAAGCGGCACAGCGCAACAAATGTGTCGATGTCACCACCGACGGCAGCTGGTTCAGTTAGCGGCGGCGGAAGTGCCAGCAGCAGTACTGCTGCTTTAGCCGCTACCTCAATGCTACCAACCAACGCTACGAGCGTCGGCAAATTCAATTTCGCCGCAGCTGCCAAGCAGCTAGCTAGCAAAGGCGGTATTGCACCTCAGCCAGTACCAATGTCGCCGTCAATTGCGACAGAGCCGCCAAGCGCAGAGCCAGCGTCACAAACAACCAACGTGGCTGCAACAACTACCTCAAACACGAATTATTCGATGGCGACGGCAGCTTCACCGTTGGCAGCGTCATCATCAAATGTGGCACCATTAGCCGCAGCGACGCGCAAGGCAAAAGAAAAGTCGCCGACATCGGTGTTTGTTCCAGCAACCATCAACATTGGTGTAGGGGCGCAGCCTACCACAATAAACGCTCCTGATGCTGCTGCTACTAACATAGTCCGAAAGAACAAGAAAGACAAGGCGCAACCACTGTTGAGCGCTGAGGTGGCCGGTGAGCCACTCGGTCATGTTGCACAAAAATCCAGCACCGCCACCCAGACTCAATCGACGTCGATGGATGTAGTGGTAATGCCCAGCAAAACTATTGCGCGTTCTCAGCCGGCATTTGTGGTCGGCAGCGAGGTAGTTATGACGACCCCTGCTTTGAGCAAAACGCAAAGACAGCATGCGAGCAGCGTCGGCGGTAGCAACAAAACCAACGCAGTGTCACGTGGAACAGCCACTATTTCAGCTACTGCGGGAGGGGCGACCACAGGTGGTGGCAGTGCCAGCAATCGGCCCGCAGTCATTATTTTGAACGATGATCGCTCCGGCGACAGCAGCGCAACGGGCATTGAGTTCACATTCGGCGATTTTAACGAGGACGAACTAAAGTTCTTTGATGAAAGCGTCACCGAGGAGGAGTGCGCGGATGGATTTACGGGCGACGAACTGCCACAGGCAGCTTCTGAGGGTAAAGTGGCTACCAAAACTGCATCCACAGCTACTTCGACAAATACCGCCGCATGCTTCAATGATTCTGGAATAGCGTCCGATATTTCGAATGCGAACAATATGTCAGCGTTTGCGGAAAGCTCCACAATGTTTGCTGGTGTCTCAATGGCGGAGCATTCAAATCCGCAACCTCCAAATACTGCAGCTGGTACTGAGTCTGGCAATAAATTGAGAGTTCGTGCGGTGGAAAGTGAAGGCGACAAAGTCAATACGCTCCCCGGTGTACAAGATACTGACGAAAGCAATGAAACGATCAGCCAGGCGTCTGTGCCGGCCACACTCGACTGTGAACAGCTACAGCAGTCATCGCAGCGGAGAAACAGTGAAACGCCACAGCTGCAACAGTTGGAAACTTGCAATGAAATTGAGACTGCGATTTTGGCTGCGGCCCGTGCAGCTGCCGAGCAGCAACATCAGCAACCAATGCAGCCACCCCCAGCGCAACAGCAGCGCTCTTTTAGGCAAAAACATCAGCAGCAACAGTACAGAAGTACTTCTTATGGCAATGCCAACATCGGCTATGAGCCGACACACCCGCGCGAGCAGCGTTCACAGTCGTCAGCGTACGCCAGAGACGCACCAAATCACTACCAGCCACAACAACAACCACATTATCATACTTCATACCAGCAACAACAACAGCAGCAACACTACCATTATCACCAAAGTGGCAGCAGCAACAGTGCTTCGCGCAGCCGCAGCAGTAGCAGCAACAACAATACTAATTCATACGATGCATCGGGCCACACACCGCCGCCACAATCGCCAAATACTTCACCATCTGTTGTGGTAAACATCCAACGCAAAGAATTCGACATACATTTCATACCGCCAACAATGTCGAACGCATACAGCTCGTTGCAACACAATGAGATCATTGTGGATTTCATTGGCTCCGGTAAGTGTTGCAAAATTAGGAACTATCACATTATTAGAAAGGGAATTTGAAACGATATGTAGGCGAGTAGAGTTCAGAAGGGGTTAAAACAAAAGATGAAAAACTTATCTTCGTGTTTAAAAACTTCAAAAAGATCCCTAAAAATTAAAATCTTTCATCGCAAACCCTGCGTTAAATTTTATCATACAAAAATGTTGATCTATATTTTTTTAAATTTCAGCTAAAAACATAGTTTTTCGTCAAAATGTTAGTTTTTGCTAAAAAATATTCGTTACAATATAATTTGTTTGTGTTAACGTGGTCCAAAGTTATGCGGCAACATAGATAAACAAAAAATATATATTCCGACGAACTGATTGATAACCTTCTCCTCTTTGTGAAGTCGGTTAAAAATATATATTTCTATGTAACTATAATAAAACTTGATCGAATTTATTGCATTTATGTATATAATAAAAGGAGTCGCAGGCCGACTTTGCAAGCCTTCATCTGTCGCAAGAATCGGCAGAAGAAGCTGACGGCGAATCGTTAAAATTTATTAGGTCTTTTAAAAATTAGTCGTTATGGACTTGGCGTGGTAAAACATACAATGTTCGGTACAAAAGCTGCTGAAAATACAGCTCTTGTAATCTTCTTGTAGTTTTTTTGGGATGGTTTGATAAATAGTAAATGGAGAATAAAAAGAAGTGGCCGTTAACACTCAAAACCGTTAAGCAATTAAAAAAAAATCGCCAGTTTTGTGTCTTATCCAACTCATTTAAAACCTTTCTCGCTGCTCTAAAACATTTTATAATTTTTACCAACAACCACCACTAAATTCTTTGTATTTTATAGCCTGGGAGGAAGTTGCTAAAGTGACGAAATTCTACGAAGGACAATAAAGCGCCGCCAAGGCAGCAGCAGCAAAAAAAAAAAAGAGAAACCACAGCAGCAACATCAACGTAAGCGCAGCAACCAGCGCAACAGCAGCACCACGCAGTAAGATTCAAGATTCCAACGCTACCAGTAGCACCGCCCGAATTACCATGTAAATTTAAGTCGACTCACTTAGCCTCATGCACTAACTGCCACAGCGTTCGGAGCGCTTTGGCTACAGCGCACCTAAACCACAGTGGAGTAGGACCGACTGTCAGCTTGGCGCTTAGATCTTAGATATATAGTGGAAAGTGGAAAATTGTCCTTTTGTTGTGACAGCTAGTGCATGGTTTGGCTGTTCTAAAGAGGACCAAGTGTGATTGTGATGATACTGTTTTTTCCTTTTGGGTGGGCGGTAGTGTCGCGGGTGGATTTAGCTCCGCTCAATCGCGTGTTTTATGCGAAAAAGTGTGCTGGCCGGCGGTGGGTGCGTTGTCAAATAAACTAGCTTGTACGTATAGTTGCTTATTTAAAGTATGTAATTATAAGTGTTTGATTATATTATAAAAAACATGAACTGCAAATAACGAAAGCACGAAAAAGCAAAAAAAAAAAACGGTAAAAGTGAAAAGCAAAGCATTAACATTTACTGTAGTTTACAAGAAAGGAATAAAAAATATACAAACATATATGAAAAGAATAACGGGAACTACACATAAATATATATATGTATGGTTAGCAAACAACCCCAAAAAATATATATGTATGTCTGTGTATTGCTTTTGGGCTGTACATTGCTTTACGTGCTTTTTTGTCTCCTAACCCCCTACTCAAAAATTACGCTGAACTTATACAACTACTATTAATACTATTTTTAATTAAATTAGAAGTTAGTGAAAACGCTAGTTTTTATAATAAATACGAATTCGAAGCAGAGAGAGAGAGAGACAATGGAAAATTGAGCGCAAAACAATAAAATTAAAGAAAAACGAAAGAAATCAAATGTATGAAGTATGTATGTATGAAAATGTATGGAAAGTAGCCGCAAACTCTAAACTGGATGGAGTCTCAAAGAGCTACGAAAACATTTAAAATTGAAAAAAAAAGTGAACGCATTATTGAATTGCAAACACAAATCCTTTTATATAAAATGGAGAAGAATTCCGCAACAGAAACTATGTAAAGGGATTTTGAAAAAATTTAAACAAAAAAACGTACAGAACAATTAATTGGCAGGAAGACGGTGAGAAGCGAACGAGTACCGAGTGCTGATAAATAGCTCCGAAAATATCAGAAGAATAAACCATAAGTTGAGTTTAATGCCACAGCTGAGTGTCATGTATGGAATTTACACAAACGCAAGTGAAATGAATGGCAAATTTAGCAATATTGCTTGCAGCTGGCCTATTGTGCTCTCTCGCAGAAGCTGTAATATATATTGTAGTTATATGTACATATGTTTACGATCTAAATGTACTTCTCTTAGTGTATATAACCAAATTTACACTATGTGCTACGTACCACCGGCGCCAAGCCACATGCGCAGCGCATCACAGAGTAGGGATTTGCCAACGCAAGGATCGCCTATGTTGGTTAATCAAAGAAAAAAAGCTAAACTGTAAAACAGAAACGCTTAAGGGTAAAAGAAAATGATTATAAGACATCGAACAAGGGACTTGAGCAGCAAGTGAGCTTAGCGTTTGTGTTTGTGGGTAAACAAGACGGTAGCACAGAAACAAGTACGCAAACAAAACAAAAACGCAAAAAAAATGTATAAGTAAGCCACTAAGTAGCATAGCAAATCAACTGGACTGGTTAAATAGTGCATAAATACATACACACCCACACACAGGAAAAAGTAAAAAAAAAAACAACTCACATGGTTAGAAACACATATGTACACACACTTACATCCACACGCGCCGCCTATACATTAAACCAAAATAAAGTAGAAGAAAAACTATAAATGCATAATAGTTGCATTGAAGTCACGCGATATTAAAAATTATTTATCAATAACGTAAAGCCTTGAAGAAGAAAAACAACCAAAACATTGAGAAAAACACGATTAATGAACTAAAATCCTTATATGTATATAATTTGTAAGTATTTTAAGGTTATTTATATTACAAAAAAAAATGTTAGCAAGCAGTGGCTACGCTAATTGCAATCTCTAATGCATGCTGAAATATGAGAGCGACTAAAATTAGTTATAACTGAAGTTTTTTTTTGGAAAGCGTTAATAATTGAAATGAACTAAGTTATGCTTAAAAAAATAATAATGGTAAAAAGCATAGCGTTGGATTTTTTTTTTTTTATTTTGAGCTAAGCACTAGAAGCCGTTGCTTATTTTAAATGTTGTAAACTACTTTTGTACTTTTTATTTAATTTTTTTTTCAGTTTTTTTTTTTAAAGGTGTAAATGTGTATATGTAGTAGTATGTAAATGCAGTGATTGTATTAATGCGTGGCTAAATCGACAACAAGTTATTTACATACATATGTTTGCAGCAGCAAATAGAGCATAACGGCGTGCATACAAAATTTTCAACAACAAAAAATGCAAAATATGGTTTTGCTTTGCAGTTGGTTACATAGCTGCATACGTTCGAAGTGAATTTTGAACGCCAGCTATTGAAGTGACTGGCCATAGTCGCGTATAAATGCGCTTCTATTTTGGAATGGGCTACTTGCACAATGAGAGCACACTTGCATGTTATTGTTTTTGTTGAAATAGCAAGCAAAAATTCCTAAACATTTTGGAAAATGCTGTTGGAGGGAAAGGCAGTCAGTTGCTAAGAAATAAAACTGAGTACGTTCCGATTGTCATCGGGAGCGAGTACGCCTCGCATGTTTTGATGTGCCTTTATAACTTTGTTCTTGCTTATTTAGCTGGTTGGAAAATTAAGTAAAATCATTCGAGAGAATATGTAGATACAGTTAGCTTCCAAAAAAAATATACATGTACCTACATACATACTTATTAATCATTATGCTATGATACAATGGCAAAAAAAGCTATCTGACGAACCGATAGCGTTCCATTGACAGCCTTTAGGCCTCTTACGCTAAACGTCAGTGGCTATTAACAACATTTTCCCATGAATTTCCATACTACTGATGCTCATTTCAATTGCCGAATACGTGATCAAAATACTTGTGTTGTTGTAAAAGTATAAACATTTCCAGAAACAGAGTTTTGGGGAATGTGGATGAAGTGACAGTCCTTTACCAGTTCTTAATCTGGGTCGTTTCGGTTGCCTAGCCCCGACTGTCCGGAGAAAATTGTGTATGTAGTTTTTGTTTTTCGCCAAGCATTACTTCAACCTGAGTGAATGCCATCACTGCATACAACATACTCGCACTTGCGTTTTAAATAAAATTATGCGACTAATCAAATTAATTTGCTAATTATTACTTAAATCGCCTTAAAAGGAAATTACAAATTTATGCCAACAGAATTATAAATTTCTCTGCCTTGTGATGTAATTAATATTTCAAACCCCTAAGCTATTGTATTGAGACTTTTGTAATACTACCGTCTACCGTTCACTTTTTTCTAATTTGTTTAAAACGAAAGAACCATAATGAAAAGTATCGACTTTAAAGCAATTCAAATGAATGAATTTCAATATTTTGTATGGAAAGTTTACATAAATAAAAACGCCACAGCTGGAATTACGATTATATAAACTGTTTAATTTTATTTATTTTTTTGGCATTTTTTATATTTCGATGACGTGCTAAAAATGCATTTGATAGTTATTTAAATAATTTTGCCTGCGACAATTCCAAATTTCTACGACAATTTCGCTTCCAACTTGTATGTACGTAAAGACGTTTAAAATATGTACATATGTAAAAATATATGTATATATAAGACCATGTATGTACATAAACACATGTGAAAGTACATAAAAGAGACTTGCGAAACTAGCAAAAAAAAATGAAACAAACTTGGCTTAAACAAAAGTTTCCGAAATTCGCGCAATTAAGTAATCGCTGCGCTAGATATGTATGTAGATAGCATTTCATAAAAAAGCTTATTAAAAAATGGTGGTAATTAACGCAATCCAGTGTAGTTATGCAGTTAGGCAACTGAAAGTCAAGAAGTCGAAGCCTTGGAATCCAAAAAGTAAAAATTTAAATTGTAGGAGAACTCTAGTATGCATTAGCGTTTGTTTACTGCTGATATGTATACAAATTTAGTAAAAGGCGAGTACAAAGCCTGCAGAGAATTTACTTGTAAAGGAAACCCCCAAAAAAAAAAACATTAAGAACTATTAATAAATTACGATAAAAAAATATATGGTTTATAAAAAACCAAAAACAAGAAATTTTCTACCATGTATTTAGCATAAAATGAAAAAAAAAATTTCGAATTTAAAATTAAATATAAAAAACACGTAATTTCTTTTTTAGTCATAACCGTCAAAAGTTTCTTTTTACGCAATGTTAAAAGCCCATTTTATGGCAATCCAAGTACTAACCCGAAAATAAATTGAATATTCAAATTAACTTACAGTTAAAGCAAGAAAAAAGTATTTGTATACAGATAGATATGTATAGATACATATGTATGTAAAATTAAAACATAAAAACACTAATCAAAAGTTTGCTATTTGCCTAAATTTAAATACATTACGGTACATGTTTGTAATTACTGTAATCAATAACAAACACAGCTTTGTATACAATTTTGTCTTTGAAGTTTAAAAATCGACTTGAAATTTACTAAAAAAACGCAACTGCATACATTACATACACATACATGTATTCATACTTGCATACCAACATATGTATATTGTAACGACACAACCAGCCACAGACCAGGGTTGCGTGATTTAAAATCCTTTTTGATTTTAATTCCACTATTAATTAAGAAATGTATTTGATCTGTTATTTGATTTATCGACCAAATAAGAAATACAATTTATTTGTGATAAAAAATAAATTTTATTTTCACGAAAATCACGAATAAAATTTATTTGGTCGCCAAATTAAATCACAAATGAAATGAACTTATTATTTGTCCGACAAATCAAATC